GGTAGAGAGAGAGGCTAGATGGGGTGAGATGGAGGCCGGATGGGGTGGGATGGAGGCCGGATGGGGGGAGATGGAGGCCGGATGGGGGGAGATGGAGGCCGGATGGGGGGAGATGGAGGCCGGATGGGGGGAGATGGAGGCCGGATGGGGGGAGATGGAGGCCGGATGGGGGGAGATGGAGGCCGGATGGGGGGAGATGGAGGCCGGATGGGGGGAGATGGAGGCCGGATGGGGGGAGATGGAGGCCCAGGTACAGTCATCTTTCAGGATAAGCGGGGAGGGGGAAGAGGAAGGCCATGGCAGGGTCAGAGAAGGCGTCGTCTTCAGATGGGGACGAGAAGGAAATCCTTGGAGGAGAACGGCTGGGAGGAAGTGACCCCCGGCTGGAGCTGTCTGGTTTTGGAGTCAGTTGCCTCTATGGAACGGGCCCCACTCATCCTCTCGTGCGGCTGCTGGGACCCGGGGCTGGGAGCTCGTTGAGGCCCTTGGATGACGAACAGAAGTTGTCTGAGCTGCAGTTTCCTCTTCTGTAAATTGAGGAGAAGACTGCCAGCTCCTGGGGTACGGAGGCACAGAATGAAATGCACCTGTTACATGGCAGCTGCTGCACCCCAGATGTCGTGTCCTGCTGCTGCTCTTAGAGACAGGGTGGAGGAGAAGGAGAAGGTCCCCTCCTGGAGCACTCTGGACCTGCAGAGCGGAGAAGTGGGGAGCACGCCCACAGAGCAGTGATGCACTGTCTGGACTGTCCGCAGAGGAGAGGCATGGAGCGGAATCGTGGTTCGGACAGGCCGGGGTGCCCCACGAGGCAGCGGGGTCCTCTCCACGAGAGATGCACCAAGGGACCAGCCGTGAGAGCCCGGCCAGGCTTAGAGAACACATCGGGAGGCTTGGTGCCCTGTAGCCCAGCGAATGAAATAGGGAGAGGTGTGGACGGAAATGGGGACTGACAAAAACGTCAAGGGTTATGGGGTTCGTGTGTGAGAGAGAAAAGTGGAGATAGAGACAGAGAGAGCATGGGAGGGAGAATCACTGGTCTGGGACAGTCTTGGGGCGGGGAGGGGGGCTGGGAGAGCGGGCAGGTCTGGGGCCCCATGGTGACAGTGAGGATGCAGAGACGGTTCCTGGGGGCAGGTTGGGGTGCTCAAAGGCCAACTCTGGGGGCGGGTTTCAGAGAATTAGATGGAGCAGTCTCATGACTAGGGCAAGGGCTGGCCGCGTTCCCCGAACACTGACGCTCCTCATTTCTCACGGTTCCTCCTGATTTTTGTTATATGACTACCTGCCGAAAAGAGTCATCTTTGCCTTTATGCATCTTTTGGTGTGGAATATAATATGTTATTTCATATGATATAGCAAATACGTTTCATATTACGTTGTGTTTGTAGTTAGTTTTTTATTGGCCCATACTTGCCGGAGTAAGATGCGATTTTTCCATACGAGATTGTGATGTGCAGTGATTAAACAGGGCATTTGGGGCACCCGCCATCCCAACCACTTGCTATTACTTTGTTGGAAATGCAATATTTTTTTTAAAGCTTTTTACCATAGGTGCATGTGCTTACTGGAGAGAGACAGAGATGGAAAGTGAGAAATCAGCCCCTTTCCCAGGGGAATGGCCATGCTGCAGTCTCTTCTCTTCCATTTTCCTCTCAGATTTTTGAACATCTATACACACACACACACACACACACACACACACACACACCCCTAGTGTGGTTTTCAAGCTTCCAGGGCCAGGACTCGATTGGCAGTTGACCATGTGGGAGTCTAGCATCTTAACTACCAAGCCACCCGCTGACCCAGAAGTGAAATAATTTCTAATGGTTACATAATATCAAGCTATCTTTGCACACACGGCTTTGTATTTTTTGGGGTTCTCTCCCGGGGTAAATTCTTGGGTCTGAGATGACTGTGCTCAGGTGTTGACTGGTTTATGGGGGAAGGGGGTGGTGTCTGGGTACGCTGTTGGTTTCCGGCCGCAGGCAGGCCCTCCTAGAGCCGGGAGGGTGGGCAGTGCAGAAGGACAGCAGGACATTCCATGCTAGAGTCAAATGGAAGCTTACGTGGATGCCCCACGTCCTCCTCGCGTGTCTCAGTTCTGCACGTGGCCTCTGCTATGCAGGGAATGGCTGGAGTTCGCATCTGTGATCGAGCGATGAAGTTGTCCTCGGTTCAGTCCTTTATCATGTTTTAGTTGTTGCTATAGGGCATGTGCATTCACCAGAAAGAGAGAGACACAGAGAGAGAGAGGAAAGTGAGAAATCACCCCCCAGAGGGCATGGCCACACCACAATCCCTTCTCCATTTCTCCTCCCGGGATTTTGGGCACACATACATGTGTCTGGTGTGATTTTCAAACTGCTGTTTTGGGGCTCGAACTGCATAGCCAGCCATGTGGGATCCAGCCCCTTACCTTCCATGCCACCTGCTGGCCTGCTTGGCTTGGTTCTTAAATGTTTTCTCTGGGGTGTCATTATGGAGCTGAACAAGGTGTGTGTCTGTCCGGAAGGAGAAAGTGCCGTGAACGGGAGTCAGTTGCTCTGTTTCAGCGTTCTTTTGGAGGAAGAACAAAACAACTTCGTCTTTAGACATTAAAGATTTATTGGGACCAGCAGATGGCATTAATGGTTACATCACTAGACTCCCATGTCGTTCACTGTGGTTCGGGTCTTGGGCCCGGCAGCTTAAAACTCATGCTGGGTGTGTGCGCATGCGTGCTCAAAATCCTGAGAGGAGACTAGAGACGGGAAGAGATTGCAGCGTGGCCATCTCTCCAGGGGGGTTTTGCTTCCTGTTTCTCTGTCTCTGTCCCTCTGGTGAGCTCAAGTGTCCTATACCAAAAATCAGTCTCTCTGTAAAACAAACAAATAAAAACAAATAAAAATGAAAAGAAAAAAGAAATGAAAAAGTAAGTTTATTTTAATTACAGTCATTACAGTGTTCGCATATTGAATAATTTTAACAGTTCAAGGGAGACATGACTTAGGTCATTATTAAAGAAATGATCATCTTTTGCATCTGATTTCATTAATAAATGTTGCTATTAATAACATTTTCCTTTGTCTTGATGATGCTGTAATGATTCCTTCCCCTTCTTTCTTCTCTTTTCACAGAAAAAATACAGGAAAGGGTTTATTGACATTTCCAAGATCAAGTGTGTGGAAATAGTGAAGAATGATGACGCTGTCATCCCCTGTCAGAACAAGTACCCGTTTCAGGTGAGCTGGCAAACTGGGGACGGCGTGGTGCTAGACTTTCCGTGCTCACTCGTCCACGTTCCGTGTCCTGTCATTGCTTTGGTGGCTGCTTCTCAGGTGGTTTGGACACTGTACTGCTCATTGTTGTTCTCCCTGCACTGCTCAAGTCCTTGTGAGTGATCTCGCTTTTGTTTTGCCCGGTTCGGTTCTCCCAGTGGTGCTGTGTTTCCAACTCCATGCGTTCTTTCCTGCCATTCGGGGTTCTTACAGAGCAATCAGGGTAAGGAATGAGGACGAGGCTGAAAACTGTGGGACCCGAGACACTCAGAAGGAGCTGGAGTGAGTTCTTTGAACAGAAATGAGATGAAAGGCCGAAATGAGAAGTGTCATCCTGGGGGTGTATGGTGATTAGAGTGGCCATGTTAGTTCATGTTTTTCTTCACAGTGACCCTATTACATAGAGAGAGAAATATGTTGATCCCGGGACCAGCAATTGGCGTAATGGCTATGTCGCTGGACTCCTATGTGGTCGATCACGGTTCAGGTCCCGGACCCGGTGACTTAAACTCATGCCGGGCGCGTGTGTGTGTGCGTGCCCAAGATCCTGAGAGAAAAATGGAGGAGAATGGAGGAGAAGGGACTGCGGCATGGCCACCCCCTTTGGGGGGTGATTTCTCACTTTCTGTCTCTCTCTCTTTCTCTGTCCTTCTGGTGAGCACACGCACCTTATAGCAAAAACCTCTCCAGAAAAAAATACATATATACATGCTGATCTCAATTTTCAAGCCACCGGGTCTGAGACTCGGTTTGTAGTCAACTATGTAGGAGTCTACCGAGCCACCTGCTGGCCCAGAAATGAAATGCTATTAATGGATGCATTATATCAAGCTATCTTTGCACACACTGCGTTGCATTCTTTGGGATTCTCTCCTGGGGTACATTCTTAGGTGTGAGATGACTGTGCTCACCGTGGGAGTGGTCTGGGGAGAAGGGAGTGCTGTCAGTTACCGGCCACAGGCAGACACGCCTAGAGCTGGGAGGGTGGGCATTGAAGGAGGACAGCAGGACATTCTGTGCTCGAGTCCAATGGAAGCTTACGTGGGTACCCCACGTCCTCCTCGCATGTCTCTGAGTTCCGTGTGTTACCTCTGATGTAGGAAGTTGGGGTGACTAGGCCCAACACCAGTGCCAAATTCAGGACCACAAGATGACCAGGTTCCTGTCTCATAGTCTCTAAGAATTAGGGTCACAGACACAGGCCAGGGTACTAAAGTGGAGTTTTTCAGAGAGGAAAGGAGAAACAGAGCTTCCCAACAGGGAGGGGTCCCAAGAATGGGTTGCTGAAGAGGAGCTGGGCCCGACATTTTTTTTTTACACGTCCTGTGTTGGGGCTCCGTGGCAGTGATTCACGTCATCCTTCTCCTCTTTGGGAGTGGGCTCACAAATCACAAGAGTGTAGACATTCAGACGTCAGTTACTTACCATTCAGCAGATCTTCGTCCGAGATCTGGAGCCCACAGAGTTTCTAGTTTTTAATCATGTTTTCTGCAAGTCTAAGCTGAAGCTTTGTTCTTTGATGGATTTTTTTCTAGTGCTTCTAAAATGTAAACTCATTTAGCCCCCCTTATCTTGCAGGTGCAAGCCTGCCTGTCATGTTCCCACTTCTCAAACTATTCTTCACAGCAAGTTATTGCTCAAGGTCCTTTGCTCTCTTGCTCCCCAGACCAAGAGAGACCGCGCTGTTGGGAATGCAGGAATGATAGGGAAAATGCCAGCTCCCGATGGCACTGTCTCAGGAAAGCTGCAAGTACGCAAGGAGGGAAGCTGACCATTGCTTTTCAGTGAGAGCAGCAAATGACTTTTATTACAAGCTTGACTACAGTGACTCCATCTTGTCTCATGTTCTGCAGTCCATGGGCTAACCCTGTCTATTAGCCAGAGAACCTACTCCTGCCTCACCTCTGCCCAGGGCCCCACACGTGGGGGAACATCTGTGGCTGAAGGTTCGTGTATGTCCCAGGACTTCCCGGCTGCTCTGTGATGGCGGGCCAGCCAGCCAGGCACGCACTTCTTGCTCCCAAGGGGGGTAGGTGTGGCTGCTCAGCCTGTCTGTCCGTGCAGGGCTCTTGGGGCACACGTGCCCAGCCCTCAGCTGTGTGGAGTCAGGCCCTGACTCCCAGAGTGTGTGGCAGCACATACTCTTCCCCAGCTCTGGGGCACCCCTTGTGTGGGTGAGGGGTTCGCATGCTTTGCTGTGAGCAGCGACTGTCAGCTTTCCCCGTGGTGTGCTCTCTGTGCCGAGGGGACGGTGGCTCCTCTTCCTCAGTGTGGTGTCTTGTGGTGCTTTGCGTGTCTTCAGTTGCTGCTATGAAATGATCAATTACATTTGCAGCGAACAGTTACCAGTATGGGGAGTTAGATGAGAGAGAAAAATGTCCAAACTTCTCAATTGTTCCCTGCTATGGTGACAACCATACAAAAGGAAGGGACTGCCTTATTTATTATTTTCTTTTTGCTATGGGGCCCATGCACTTGCCCGAAACAGAGATAGACAGAGAGAGGGAAGGTGAGAACGCGCACCCCAGGGGGCATACCACACTGCAGTCCCTTCTCCTCCGTTCTCCTCTTGGGATTTTGGACATACATGCACATGTGCCTGGTATGTTTTTCAAGCCACTGGGTCCAGGACTTAAACCACAGAGTTGGTGGGGCCAGCAGGTGGCATGGCGGCTGGGGTGCTGGACTCCCAATGGCTAACCGTGGTTTGAGTCCTGGACCTGGTGGCTCCCTCCCTCCCTCCCCCCCTCTCTCTCTGGTGAACACACACACACACAGTTGGCCATACGGGATCCAGTGCCTTAACCTCCATGCCACCAGCTGCCCTGTCTGCTGTTCCTGCTTTCGTTCCTGCTGTTCTCCCGAGTGAAGAGCAGGGGCAGTAACTGCTTAAAGAGGTGACACTGAGGCCAAGCCACCCGCTTTGCTACTGAGTGGCTTTGTGACTTGTGTAAGTCACTTGACCTCTCTGTGTCTGTGTCCTCTCCCGAGCTCATGGTGAGGCCCAGCTGAAGTGGCTGCGTGTGCACTCACGAGCCAAGGGGCTGCCAGCTGCCCTCAGTGACATGACGTCACCCTCCCGTTCCGTTCCGCCTCTCATGCTGCTGCCGTGGGGACACCACATATGCCACCCTGTCTCCAAGTGACCCTGCTTAAATCATTTTCCTGACTAGCTGTGTTGAATGCACATGTAATGATGCATGTGTATGGAACGGTGTGTGTGTGTAATGGCATGTGTGTGTAGTGGTGTGTGTGTAACTATGTGTAGTGGTGTGTGTAACAGCATGTGTGTATAGTGGGGTGTGTGTGTAATGATGTGTGTGTAATGGCGTGTGTGTGTGTGTAGTGGTGTGTATGTTAATGGGATGTGTGTGTAAGTAGTGGTGTGTGTAACGGCGGGTGTGTATGTAGTGATGTGTGTGTAATGGTGTGTGTGTGTAGTGGGGTGTGTGTAGTGGGGTGTGTGTGGGTGGTGTGTACGTTAATGGGATGTGTGTGTGGGTAGTGGTGTGTGTGTAATGGCGGGTGTGTATGTAGTGATGTGTGTGTGGGTAGTGGTGTGTAACAGCAGGTGTGTATGTAGTGATGTGTGTGTAATGGTGTGTGTGTGTAGTGGGGTGTGTGTAGTGGGGTGTGTGTGGGTGGTGTGTACGTTAATGGGATGTGTGTGTGGGTAGTGGTGTGTGTGTAACAGCGGAAATGGGTGTAGTGATGTGTGTGTAATGGTGTGTGTATAATGGTGTGTGTGCGTAATGATGTGTGTGTAGTGGTGTGTGTGTGGTGTGTACGTTGATGGGATGTGTGTGTGGGTAGTGGCGTGTGTGTAATGGTGGGTGTGTATGTAGTGATGTGTGTGTAATGGTGTGTGTATAATGGGGTGCGTGTGTGTAGTGGGGTGTGTGTAGTGGTGTGTGTGTAATGGTGTGTGTATAATGGGGTGTGTGTGTAGTGGCGTGTGTGTGTAGTGGTATGTGTGTGGTGGTGTGTACGTTGATGGGATGTGTGTGGGTAGTGGTGTGTGTAACGGTGGATGTGTGTAGTGGTGAGTTTGTGTAACTACGTGTGTGTGTGTTGTGTACGTTGTCTGTGTGGTGGTGTGTGTGTGGTGGTGTGTGTGTAACGGCATATGTGTGTGGCATGTCTGTGTAATGGCATGTGTGTGGGTGGTGGTGTGTTTGTGTAACAGCTTGTGTATGTGTAAAACTCCATGTGATGTTTAGCACAGAACCTCTCTGACCCCCTGTCTGATGAGTGTCAGACATTTTGGGGGGGCAGGAGTACTTGTGGGGAGTTCTGGCTCTTGTGTTTGTGGATTAGGAATTTTTTGTTGCAGAGAATTCGAATTTTTTGTTCTGCAAGCTTTGGATGTTTTTAAAAATGACCATCCTAGTAGAACAGAAAGCATTTTGGACCATTAGAAACCATTGCAGTGTGGGACCAGCAGATGGCGTAATGGTTACGCCACTGGACTCCCATGTAGTCAACCTCAGTTCAAGTCTTGGACCTGGTGGCTTAAACTTATACGGGGTGCGTGTGCGTGTGTGTGAGTGTGTGTGTGTGTGTGTGTGTGTGTGTGTGTGCCCAGGATCCAGAGAGGAGAATGGAGGAGAAGGGATTGTGGTGTGGACATCACCTGAGGTGGGGGTGATTTCTGTCTCTCTGTCTCTCTGTCTCTGTCCCTTTGGTGAGCGCCCACACCCTATACCAAAAATCTCTCTTAAAAAACGAACAACAACAACAAAAATTGTTGTAATGAATAAATATAAACTCAAAAACAATTTTCAAAATTAATCAATAAGAGACAAGCTTGAGTTGTAACTGTAATTTATTTTATTAATTTTTTAGGGGTTTTTGCCTTGGGGAAACAACTTGCTAGAGAGAGAAAGAGAGAAACGGTGAGAGGGAGAGCAAGAAATCACCCCCCTGGGGGTATGGCCATGCTGCAATCCCTTCTCCATTCTCTTCCCGGGGTATTGGGCACGACGCACGTATGCCCTTCTCCATTCTCTTCCCGGGGTATTGGGCACGCACGTATGCCTGGCGTGAGTTTCCAGCCACTGGGTCCTGGACTCGAACCATGTTTGGCCATGTGAGAGTCCAGCGATGTGACCGCTGTGCCGTCTGCTGGCCCCATACCTGTGTAATTTAAACCAGCAGGATCTGAAAAGTGAAAGACATCCCTCTTCCTCTAAGTTAAGTAAGAAAGAATAGATCCTGGCTTTACATCTTCACTGTGAAACTTTGCATGGGGTTCAGATATATGGTTAAAAAAAAAGGTAGAAGGAAAGGAGGCATTTCCAGAAGACACTGGAAGGAAGAAGGAGGCTGCTTTCCCCAGCATCTTCTAGCTCTGGAAAGGGACAGAGGAAGTACGGAGGAGCCAGCCCCGCCGCCCCGCTGTCCCGCTGGTGCCTGTCACGCTGGCTGTGGGCTGAGACGTGTCTGGGCCCCGTCTCTCCTGCCTTCCAAACGCTGCCTGTCTGCCCGACGCCTGCCGGTCTCCCCAGACCACGCCGTCGGTAGGGCTGTCGGACACGTGAGTGAGTGAAGGAGGCTAGAAATGGGAGGGAGGGGAACTGCTGGGTTAGCGGGACACCCAGGGAGAGGGTCTCCTTGACGCCATGGCTCTGGGCTTCCAGGTCTGCAGGACCCGTCCCTCCGCAGCTGTCGGGTAACTCCTAGGAGCCGTGAGACTCACATGAGAGCCCCGATTCGCTGGCTGCATCCCCCCAGGTTCGCTGTGCACATGGCTGACACGGCAGGTGGCCCACCGGCTGGGGTCTGGGCCTGGCACAGGGAAGGACCCGGGCCCCTACGCCTCTCTCTGTGTGTGCCGGAGCGCCTGGGATGCCCAATTAGAGGGTGGTTGTTTGCGTTTGATGTTATTTCCAGAAATTTCTTGATAACCCACATGCTCCAGGTTAGCTAGGTAATAATATATCAAGCTAGTTTTAGTTGCTGAAACTCTGAATTTGGAATACTTTACTATTATAATTACTCTTTTGGTTTCACGACTCTTTGAAAAACTTCACCCATGCTCACGAGCTTTCTCAGGTCACGGTGCTGACATGAGGTGAATTTTGAGACGTTAGACTGCTCGCAGCGGGAAAGCCAGGCCGAGGAAGGAGTGACGGGGCAGCGTGAAGGTGCCTGGGAGAAAACACGAAGAAAAGCCTTTGCGTGTCAGACAGGCCCCGCTCTTAGCCCCTCACCTCGTCTGCACTGGCTTTCTCACTGGAGAAGGGGGGCGCTGGCAGTTAGAGACCCGGGCTGCCCTGCAGGGAGTGAGGCTGCAGGTGGGAAGTGTGCGGCCCCGCGTGGGGACGCGGTGAAGAATGACAGTGACAGAGTGTGACTGATACACCGCGGTGGCTGACAGCTCCAAGGCCTCCCGCTGCACCTTGCAGACCCATCCGTGTTCGTGCAGAATGAAGGGCGTGGTGCACTTCGACGTCGTTAGCTTGCAGAGGCCGACCTGGGTGAGGCGTGAGCTGACAGCCCTGAAGGAAACAGCTCCTCACGCCACCTCGGCACTTTATATGTCTCTGCATCCCCTCTCCCGTTCTGTCCTGTGATAAGCTATCCCGACTCATCTTCCCAGGAGCCTTCATTTGGGCTCTGTTGGTCTCCCCGTCCCAGCACGGAGGTGCGTGCACACAGCCCTGTGGTCCTGTGGTTCCCACGTTGCAGTGGCAGTACCTGCGTTCGGAGTGAGCGGGGGGTGGGGGGGGACGGCCACTTACCCACGAAGACAAGTGTGTTTCAGTGCAAGGGAGGTTCCAGCCTGCCTGGCGTTTCTGCCAGTCAAGGTGGCCGACCACCACGGGTAAAGCAACAGACCGAGACAGATCCCTGGGTTAATTTCCGAGCCTCGCTTTTGTTATTAACATTAAAAACAAGACTTTTCCCACCGGGAGCCACCTCTGAAAGAGCTTGTTTACAAATGTGGGCTCAGGAGTCAGAGCCCCGGCCGCCCAGATTCGCAGCCAGATGCCAGCGGGCAGGCTGGGGACTCCGTAGGGACCGTTTGCAGGGCCTGCGGCCTGCATGGACCCCGAGGGTGTGCGGGAGTGGAGGACCTGTGCATGGGCCTCGGTTTCCTCATCTGTAACACAGAGATGCCATTGCATTGACGCGGGATTCACGTAATATCTATAAAGTGTACAGCTTAGGGCTGTGCTAATCGGTGCTTACCAGAGTTACTACTGCAATTGTTGTTATTGTTGTGCAGCTTATTTCTTTACTCCTTCCAGGAGTCAGAGAGGTGGGAAGACAGCACCCCAGCAGGGTCTTTGCTGCGATTCATTCCCCATTTCCGGCCGCCCAGGGTCCCCGGCATGCAGGTGCTCAGCGTACAGAGGGGAGTTGCTGGCACCTCAGCTTAGCCCTGCGCCACCAGCCCCTATGCAGTCACTGATCGTGGCGAGAGAAACCACAGGCGTGGTGTGGAAGGAGGGGTCCACTCATCTGAAATATGACTTAGAAAGTCCTGGGGTGGAATACTGTTACCGCACGTCTGCCTCGGGACGGCAGTCAGACTGCAGGGATACTCAGTTACCAGAGCGTCCTGGGCTGTGTATGTTCTCCTATAAAAACACGGTTCTTTGCAAAGCGTGTGCCCTGTTCGATGTAGAAGTGAAGGAAGTGGAGTGCTCTTGTAAGAAAAGGATCGAGGGGGGCCAGCAGATGGCATAGTGGTTATGTCACTGGACTCCCCACATGGTCAACTGTGGTTCAATTGGCTTGAAAATCATGCTGTGCGTGTGTGTGTGTGTGTGTGTGTGTGTGCGCGCGCGCGCGTGCGCGTGCATGCGCCCAAGATCCCAGGAGGAGAATGGAGAAGGGACTGGGATGTGGCCATTCCCCCCGGGGGATGATTTCTCATTTTTCCTCTCACTGTCTCTTCTCTTTCTCTCTTTCTCTTTTTCTCTTTCTGGGGAGCGTATGAGCCCTAAGGCAATAAAAACCTCTTTAAAAAAAAGAAGGAAAAGAATCGAGGTTCTCTGGATGGGAAGGAACTGGCTTTTCTTCAGTCACTCGAGAACTTGCTGGTCCTGCAGTGCCGCAGCCGCGTGCTGGACGGCAGTGCCGTGTCTGCGCGTCTCTCAGCCTCCTCTTCTGTTCCAGGTTGTCCACGACGCTAACACCCTGTACGTTTTCGCACCGAGTGCGCAGAGCAGGGACCAGTGGGTGAAGAAGCTAAAAGAAGGTGAGACTCGTATGCGCGGTGTGTCCATGCAGTTTTTAAACGGTGTGGCATGGCCGTCGCTCACACGGACACGGCCCCTGCACCCACTGCGTCTGTAATCTCTTCATCTGCAGAAGTCTCTGCAGACATTACTGGACGTGCTGCCGACATCCTGGAGAGCTTCCCCTTTTAAGATCTGATTCTTCCTAGCAGTGTATAAACGGTTTCTAAGAAAAGCATGCTTCCGTTAAATGCATAGTGCATTGGAAAGCGATAAGGCTGGGGCTTTTATGATAATGGGGTTTGATATTTTCAAAGAAGCTGGCACACGTCGTCCACACGTGGTGTGGAAGGGTTGACGCGTGCACAGAAAGTGAGTCAGTGAGCGTCTGTCCTCAGGCCCGGCCACTCCTGTAGAACAGAGTGGCGCGGGCCGGGCCGCTTTGGCGTTACCCGCCGTGGTGGAGCCACGTCCTTCTGCTCAGAGGTGCGTCTCCACAGAGGGGAGGTACGCGAGCAGCACGGCTTCTCCAAGTGCCACGTCTCAGGTGTTCTGAGGGGTTCTCATCCCCAACACGGGATCCGGGGAGCAAGCCACGGTCGGCAGCGTTGCTTACGAAGTGTTCCGGAGTGTTGGTCTCATTTCATTCATTGTGAATGTCTTTGTGAATTGCAGAAATAAAGAACAACAATAATATTATGATTAAATATCATCCTAAATTCTGGGCAGACGGAAGTTATCAGTGTTGCAGACAAACCGAAAAACTAGCTCCTGGGTGCGAAAAATATACTCTATTTGAGAGTAGTAAGTATTCATTTTACTATATAATTAATTGTGTATCGAATGAACATATTGGCGTGGGGAGAAAGTGACATGATTTTGATTTTTAAGTATACCATACTTTGGGCCAGCCAGTGGTATAGTGGTTAAGGTCACTGGATCTACATGACTGACTGTGTGGTTCGAGTCCTGGACCCAGCAGCTTGAAAAACACATTGGGCGTGCGTAAGTGTGTGCCCAAAATTCCTAGAGGAGACCGGACAAAAAGGCGTGGCCACCCTCCCTCCAGGGCATGTGTGTTGATTTCTCACTTTCCCTTTCGCTCTCTCTTTCTGGTGAATGCACACACTCTAAACAAATTTAAAACAAATAAACAAAAAAATAACAGAATACCTCCTAGCACAATGTGAAGGCAGGGCAGGCATAGTTTCTAAGAGCAATTCATTACCGGCAGTTAGCGTAATGGCTATGTCGCTGGACTCCCATGTAGTCGACCGCAGTTCGCGTCCCGGACCCGGTGGCTTAAACTCACGCCGGGTGCATGTGCGTGCATGCCCAGGATCCCGAGAAGAGAATGGAGGAGAAGGGATTGTGGCGTGGCCATCCCCCC